AAAGCCCTAGGCTTTTAGTTATCTGAAATAAAAAAACGTCATGGCCTGTCCTGAAATAAATATTAAAGCTTTAAAGGCCACAAGAAAGCTGAATCTCTGCACTTTGATGCCACTTTCACATTTTTGGTTCCTGGCCCCAGGTCTGCTGTGCCACTGCAGGACACTGGGAGAGCTCACCAGGATTACACTGGGACAGAGAAACTGTGGAAGTTTCAGGTAAAATCAACTTTACAAGGAAAATCTTATGAAAACTTCCTTCCTACATGGATAATATAGAAAATGAAATAATATCTAAATTATTACACAAAGTATTTTAGGCACAGGAGGGGATTGTATTAACAATCTGTATTAAAGCTTTAAAGTCCACTGGGAGTGCTCACAAGGAACCCTGGATTACACTGGTGGAGAGAAGCTCTAAAAGTCTCAAGTAAAATCAAGTTTTTAATGAAAACCTCTTTCTTACAAAAACTTTGTTCCTACATGGATAATATATAAAATGAAATACTATCTAAATTATTATACTAAGTATTTTAGGCACAAGGGTGATTGTTTCAAAAAAAGGAATTTTTTACTTTTACTTTTGGTTTTTTGAACAAAAGCCCTAATCTTTTAGTTATTTGCAAGAAAAAAACTTCATGGCCTGCCCTGAAATAAATAATAAAGCTTTAAAGGCCACAATAAAGCTGAATCTCTGCTCTTTGATGCCACATTCACATTTTTGGTTCCTGGCCCCAGGTCTGCTCTGCCACTGCAGGACACTGGGAGTGCTCACCAGGATTACACTGGGACACAGAAACTGTGGAAGTTTCAGCTAAAATCAACTTTACAAGGAAAATCTTATGAAAACTTCCTTCCTACATGGATAATATAGAAAATGAAATAATATATAAATTATTACACAAAGTATTTCAGGCACAGGAGGTGATTGTATTAACAACCTGTATTAAAGCTTTAAAGTCCACTGGGAGTGCTCACAAGGATTACACTGGTGGAGAGAAGCTCTAAAAGTCTCAAGTAAAATCACATTTTTAAGGAAAACCTCTTTCTTACAAAAACTTTGTTCCTACATGGATAATATATAAAATTAAATAATATAAAAATGATTACATAAAGTATTTTAGGCACAGGAGGTGATTGTATTAACAAAATGAATTTTTTACTTTTACTTTTTGTTTGTTGAACAAAAGCCTTTGGCTTTTAGTAATCTGAAATAAAAAAAACTTCATGGCCTGCCCTGAAATAAATATTAAAGCTTTAAAGGCCACAAGAAAGCTGAATATCTCTGCACTTTGATACCACATTCACATTTTTGGTTCCTGGACCCAAATCAAATTTTCAAGGAAAATCACTTTATTATGAAAAATTTCTTCCTACATGAATAATCTATAAA